TGTATTTCTTGGGGCTGAATTTTTGAGTGCTTCTCTAGGTTTGGAAAGTTTTCTTCCAGGATTTTATGGACTAGATTGTCAATGCCCTTATGGGTCTCTTCCCCTTCTGGGATACCAGTTATCTGGATATTTGGACATTTGATGGTATCTAGTATTTCTCGTATAGAATTCTCATGTTTTTGGACAACTTTCTCAGTCTTTGTGGTGGATTTTTCTAGGCTAGTAATTCTATCTTCTACAACTGAGATTCAATTTTCAGTGTGATCTAGTCTGCTTTGAATACTCTCAAGGGAGGTTTTGACTTCCTGTATTATAGTCTTCATCTCTACCAGGTCCATTTGATTCTTTTTTAAAGTGTGTAATTCCTTTTTCAGATCTTGCAAGAATTTCCTCACCTCCTAAAGCTTGTCAGCTTCTTTCCCTTGCCTCTTCGGCAGTTCATTGTCTCTCTTCTCTCCAATTTCTGTGAGCTTTGTCACCATGAAAATTCTGAATTCTTTATCAGACTTTTCCATGAATTTCATTATACTGTCTGAGGATGAAGAGGACTTATTTTTCCTTGGAGGAGAGGCATCTTCTTGTTTTTCCATATTTCTTGTGACCCTGCAGTGATTTCTAGTCATTAGATGGATAGTGTATTTCTTCTAATTCTTGAAGTTCAGTCTGAGTGTTCGGAGGCGTGCAGGAGGAGGTGATGTACAATCTCTGTTCCATTCCATTCTCACTCTTTATGCACCAGAATCAGTGGGAATAGAGGAATATTCTGACCCTAACTGTATTCAGATGTATAGGTTCTGTTTACTTGGACCTGTCTAGACACTTAGTGAGCAGAGGCTGAGAAGCAAATGAGTAAAGATTTAAAAAAAGAAAAGAAAAGAAAAGAACTAAAGAAAAGGAAAAGAGAAAACAAAAGAAGAAAAAAGGATAATAAAAAAACTATAGATTTTAATATTAAAATGCAAAAATTGAAAACCGCATGGCCTGGGTTTGTACCTTTCCTAAACAGAAGGGGAGAGGCACCTATTAACACAATAAAGGGGCTTGAAAGCCTAGAGAACACTTTACCTTAAAAAAATAATAATAAAATTAAAAGACTCAGGGAGACAGAGAGACAGAACTGGAGACAAAGAGACAGGTAACACTACCCACTAGAAATAAGAGAGGAAGAAGTTTCAGCAGAAAATCTTCATTTAGTCTCTGAAAGCACTAGTTCACAGCTGAAGTTCAGGGTCCATGTGGACAGAGTTTGCCTTTTTCCCCTTATTTATTTATTTTGGTCATAAGGTGCATGCGCTCACCAGAGAGAGAGAAAGTGAGAAATCACTCCTGAGGGGGCTGACCATGCCACAATCCTTTCTCCTCCATTCTCCTTGGAGTTTTGGGTAACCACGCACATGCATATGGTGTGATTTTCAAGCTGTCAGGTCCGGGATTCAAACTGTGGTCCACCATATGGGAACCCAGTGCATTCACCACCATGCCACCTGCTGCCCCTTCTCACTCCCCCAGAGCTTACTCATAGAAAGCCTCTGCTTTTACCTAGGTGATAGAGGTGACCTGAAACCCGAGAGCAGGGTAATTAATAGCAATCCAAGACAGAACTTGAACCTAATCAAGTAAGTCAAATTCATAAAGAATTACTATTACCTAAATTGAAATCTCTTCATAAAAAAGGAAAATTCTTTCTCCCCCCATATCTTAGTTTGTCTAAGTTAGTCTCACTGGAAACTAGTACTTAAAGTCAGAAGGTTTCTGCATCATTTACATAATGTCTTCAGATTTGCCAAACTACCCTTTCATATTCTAATTTTGCCAGCTTTCCTAGCTCCAGTAAACCCTGTGAACTGCATATTCACCTCGCTCTTTTTCCTTAAAGCAAGGAGCTTCATCTGCCTTTCCCGAATTGAGCACTCTGCTGTTCAATTCAGTGATCTGTGGGTGATACAATGAGACGTCCAGACTAGCTGGATGATGACTTCCACAAACGGAGAGCCCACTACTGAAAAGTCAACCTCATACCACTCTTTTGTGGCCAAAGGACACCTCGCCATCTGGCAGAGTGTCTGGCCATAATCAGTATAAAAGACTCAGTGTCCAGAGAAGAGAGGAGCAACTGCAGTCTGGTGAACAGCCCGGGTTCTGCAGGCAGGCCGTCTGGTTCAGCTCTCAGCTCTGCCAGTCATTACTTAGAGAAGCTTTATTATTTTTTAATTAATTAATTAATTAATTAATTTTTTAGGAGAGGTTTTGGCTATAGGGTGTGTGCACTCGCCAGACAGACAGAAACAGACAGAAAGCAAGAAATCAGCCCCCAGGGGGGATGGCTACGCCACAATCCCTTCTCCTCCATTCTCCTCTCGGGATCTCGGGCATGCACACACAAGTGCCCGGTGTGAGTTTAAGCCACTGGGTCCAGGACTCGAACCGCGGTTGACTATGTGGGAGTCCAGCGACATAGCCTTTATGCTAACTGCTGGTCCCAAGAAGCTTTATTATTTTTTGAGCTGTAAGACATAAAAACCCACAAATGCAATTCAAAGCCACAAATCAATGTCCCACAATTGAAGAAGAAAATAAAATGTAATCAGATGGTAACTGGTCTGATTATACAAAGGATAGTGTGCTTACAGCAAATTCAGTGAAGTCTACAGGTGATCAACAGGGACTACATGGTAATTCTTACATAGCTGGTACATTGAAAAGCTCAAAGCCCAGTACACTTCAATTTGACCCATGGAATATATACTTATTCATGTACTATCTTGTTTTGTTTGCTCTTGTCTTACAACTGTTCACCTCATCTCCCTAAATAGGAAAGAGACTGTATCTTCTACTTTTTTCTGAATACCCCCAAGAGTCCTGGCTCAGGTGAGCCCTTAAGAAACACTTAAGCTTTTGTATTTTTTTTCTTTTAGAGATATCTGCCTTAGGATGTGTGAACTTGCTGGAGAGAGAGAGAGAGAGAGAGGGAAAATGAGAAATCACTCTTGGCGGGGGAGTGAGGGGGTGACAGCCACGCTGCAATCTCTTCTCCTGGGATCTTGGGCATGCATGCACAAGTACCCAGCATTATTTTCAAGTCACTGGGTCCGGGACTTGAACTGCAGTCAACCATATAGAAGTCCAGCAACATAACCACTATACCATCTGCTGGCCCCTATATGGGTTTTTATAGGGTTTACTAGGGCTAGCAAAACTAGACAAAATTAGAATCTGAAAGCCAACATGATACATCCCCTTGCAAATAGACACATTCCCAGCAAGACTTGCTCTTGAATCAAGCCCAAACCTTGCATGTAGCTTTGCCCCTTATTGAAGGGCAATAAAGGAGGGCCTTACCAGATCTGTGGGACTCTAAGATTTCTCTGACTTTTCCTAGTTTGGAGATGAGACTGATTCATGTTGGAAACTGTGAGAGATAAATGTAATCA